CGGCAGGAGTCTCTTAAGGCAAACACCTCGTTAAAGTTAAAAACTACTACTTGCGCTTACTCTACCTATACTACCCTTATTACCTCCTGCGTAGCTAAAGCTATAGTTACTAAAGCTACTACTACTAAAGAAGAGCGTGCTACTACTAAGCGTAAGGCTATTATAGAGCGTGTAGTAGCTAAGTATATAGCTACTACTACTATAGTTAAGATTATAAAGCTAAGGAAGGGTGCTCCTACTCTAGCTCCTACTACTCTAGCTCTAACTCTAGCTCCTGCTCCTCCCTAGACCCTGCCCTATGCCCCTACTCCTACTCCTACTCCCTCTCTAGCTCCTAAGGAGACCCTAAGATCCTCCTATTATAGAGAGCCTAGTATTTATTATACTAAAACTTATCTAAATTATCTACGCTTAGCGCTCTTTAATAAGTCTAATAGCAAGTACTATAACTCTTCTAGTAGGGGGACTTAGTGCTAGTAGTGCTTCTCTAGGTATAGCTATATCCTAATATATATAATCTATATAAGAATTTTTCCTTTATAACGCTTTAGTAAGATCTATACTAATAAACTAATAGCCCTAAGCTTACCTAATATTCTACGCTGTCCTTTCTAGTAAGGAAGTAGGTAGGTAAGAGCTAAGACCTTCTTAAGGATAAGAAGCAGAGGGTCTTAGTGCTCCTTAAGGAGAGTAAGGCTAAGCAGCAGGAGCTAGTAAAAACTGCTGCTGCTGCTACTAAGCTTGCGCGTAAGGCTACTGCTATAGCTAAGGGCGCCTAGAGCTCCTTATTAGAAGATAAGGACTCTAGCTCCTCTAAGGTTCCCCCTATAGATCCTAGGTTAGGGTAACCTAGGTAGCTTCCTATAGACTCTAAGGCACGCTTTACGCGCGTAATAGAGCTCCTTAAGGAAGCTACCTAGTTAATAATAGAGAGGTAGGCTATAGTTAGTTATTCTTATATTATATATTAATAGATCTTATATACTACCTTACTTTAATTAACGCTATATAATATATACTCTACTATTATATAACTTTAGGTGCTCCCTAAACCTTATAAATTATTGTGCAGTTAGGTTTTTAGTAAGCCTATTAGCTAGTATATTACTAGTAGGTAAGTAGGTAATATAGAAAGATCCCTTTTTATACTCTTATCTAAGCTATATATTTTAAATATCTACATAGCGTAGCTTAGTAGTAATCCTTTTGTTATTACCTACTACTAACCTAATAGTTTGTTAATTATTACAATTAATTATCTAGGTAGTATCTAAAGTAAGGTGTATTTTGGTTAAAAAGCGTTTTAACGCTATTGCTTCTTTGCTTACTTACTTAAGCGCAAGGAGCTCTGCCTTAGTAGTTAAAGTAGTAACAGTTGCTTGTTAAGCTGCCTTCTAAATAATAGGTCCTCTAAAGAGCGTGATTAGGTATCTATATAATAATCGCTAAGTATTGTGCTGTGGTATGGGATGTAAGGGAGAAAAAACAAGGCTTAGCCTAAAAAGTTGGGCGAATTGAATAGTATAAAGGTATGAAGGATCAGAGGATAGGAGAGGCACAACTCCTGCGGTCTTTACTTTAACTCTACAATATTATCTTTTTACTTATGTTTCTACATTAAACCTATATTATCTGCTATAGGATTAATACTATTAAACCTTGCCCCTCCTACTTCTCCTTGTTTAAATAGGTTACTCTCCCTAGCAGTTTAAATAGCGAAGCCTAAGGGGAACTTATCTTATCTTAGTAAAGGGGAGGGCCTAGTAGCATGCAACTAAGAGGACGTTTCTCTAAGTATAAGGAGGGTAGAGAAAAATTAAAAAATAGGTATTGTTAATAATTAATATTGTTAAGGCAAAAATAGTAGGCCTATATTAGGACGTGGCTAACGCGCGTTAGTAGGAACAGAGTAACAATACTAAGAGGCTAACTAGAAAATATCAGAAATACTAGAACAACTAGAACAACTAGAACTAGAACAACTAGAACTAGAATAACTAGAACTAGAACGACTAGAATAACTAGAACTAGAACAACTAGAACTAGAACAACTAGAACTAGAATAACTAGAATAACTAGAACTAGAATAACTAGAATAACTAGAACTAGAATAACTAATATTTCAATCAGAAAGGTGTAGTAGTGGAGCTACTTCGTA